AAAAAAAAAAAAAAAAAAAAAAACTTATAATCTTACCAACCATTGGAATTAAAACATTACGTTCCCAATTTCTCGTCCTTTCCTTTTTTTTCATTTTCTGTAAATCCAAATGGCACTTAATTAATCCATTCAATGTAATCCATTCAATGTATTTTCCGTTTCCTCTCATACGGAAAAAGAAAACCTCTGATTTCTAGGTCCGGACAAAAGGTACCGTTTACCCTTTAACTTTTTGAATTTGAGGGTTTTTATCCTTCATATTACAATACATGAATTTTTACCCTTAATATTTTCGAGTTTGAGAAAATGAGGCAAAATTTAACGTCGAAGCGTCACGTGTAGCACGTGCACCGTTGGCCTCCGTCAAATATGCACATGTCAACGCCAACTCAGACTTTTTTCACAACTTGACATGCCAACTTGGAACCCCATGAGCGGGAAGTCTACCTGCTACCAATTTGTGGGCCCCACCGCTGACTAAAATATTGTGACTTGGCACCAAAAATATAATTTAATAAATAAAAATTTCTTTTTTTTCTTTTTTCTTTCCTTTCCTTTTTTTTTCTCCTTCTCTTTCCTTTTCTCCTTCCCTTCCCTACTGGGTTCGAAGGAACCCAGCACCAGCACCTGGGTTCCTTCGAAGGATTTCAAGACAGCCATCAATGCCCAGCTTACTAAATAGTGAATAAAAGTGAGAAATACTAGGAACTGGAACCCAACATTTTTAAGAACCTGCACAAACAAAAAGGAACAAGCTATGCAATTACCACTAGAGAGCTGTCAAATGTAAAGCTAGTAGTAGCACATACATAATATGGTATAAAGAACGAACCCATTTGTTCATGAAAATAATACCAACAGCAACCATAAAATTGAATGTGAGAGCTGAAAAAGGACCCCAAATTCTTTGCTGTTGAGTTTTTGCGCTTTCAGATGGACGGAATTTGTTAAATATAGAAGCTCGCAAATCTTCCAAAGCTCTTCTTGAATGTTTAAAGATGTTATTCCCTCCAGCATCCAAGAGATGCACATGCACTCATACTTGGTTTCAAATAGATAAACTAGACAAGAAAAATTTACCCTTTGACTCAAACCTAGGCCCTGAGTTCCATTGAACCCAGGCGTGTTGGGTTTGAAGGAACCTAGGGCCTGGGTTCGAGGAACCCGCGCCTGGGTTCCATCGAACCCAGGCGTGCTGGGTTTGCTTGGTTCCCTGAACCCAGGCCCTGGGTTCCTTCGAAGGAACCCAACACCTGGGTTCGAGGAACCCGCGCCTGTGTTCGAGGAACCTGCGCTTGTGTTCGAGGAACCTGCGCTTGTGTTCGAGGAACCCAGGCGCTGGTGCTGTGTTCCTTCGAACCCAGTAGGGAAGGGAAGGAGAAAAGGAAAGAGAAGGAGAAACAAAAAGGAAAGGAAAGAAAAAAGAAAAAAAAAAGAAATTTTTATTTATTAAATTATATTTTTGGTGTCAAGTCACAATATTTTAGTCAGTGGTGGGACCCACAAATAAAATTGGTAGCAGGTAGACTTCCCGCTCATGGGGTTCCAAGTTGGTATGCCATGTTGTCAAAAAAGTCTGAGTTGGTGCTAACATGTGCCTACTTGACGGAGGCCAACGGTGCACGTGCTACACGTGATGCTCCGGTGTCAAATTTTACCTCATTTCCTCAAACTCAAAAATATTGATGGTAAAAATTCATATATTGTAATATAAAGGGTAAAAACCTTCAAATTCAAAAAGTTAAAGGGGCAAACGGGTACTTTTTGCCTCTAGGTCCGTAACTTCATAATATTTTTTAGTTTCAACTCCAGAATATTAGGTTAGAATCTCAGGTTTTCAAGAACACTTGAGACACCCGGGTTTACGATCAGAATGCCTTGTCTTGTGATGGTCTGATTGTGAAGTACGACAAGGAAAGTCCCAGGACCGATCCGCGAGCGCCACATCATCTGGTTCGGCTGGAAGCTCGTCCTCGTCCTTCCCGTCGCCGTCTACGTCGTTGCTCTCCTCCTCCTCCATTTTTCAGGCCGATATCGCCTCTCCGAACTCCTTATCTAGCGCGAGGACGAGATCTCGGGTTTCCTTAAATAGCTACGACGGGTATCCCAAGATCGACTTCCTCTTCCTCGCCCGTCGGGACCTACCTCTTGATTTTCCCTGGAGCACCTTCTTTGAGGTCTGTTTCTCTGTTTTTCAAATTTGTGTGCAGTTCTCTGCAAAAAAAGGAATGGAATTTTTGCAGTTTCTTGGTAAAGCTATATGAATTTCAGGATCTGAAGTTGTTCGGTTTTTGCAGAATGCTGATGCTGGTAATTTCTCTATTATATACACCCTCGGAGCCTGGGTTTGTCTTTTATTAATCGAATTCGGGCGCGCAATTCTTTTATGGTCGCCAATCGAGTAATAGCATTAAAGTGATCAATGTTCGGCTTTGTATTTTGAGTTTCAGGTAGTGGAAAGAAGGGAATTATAGTTTGGAGTTTTAAGTTTTTGTTGGTAGTGAAAGCAGGGAACTTTTTAAGATTCAAAGTTGTGATTTTTCTTCTATTGTTGGTTGGTGGATGGAAACTGAAAGGATGAATTAGAAACTTGTTAAGTTCAATGGCATATCTGATTTTGAGTTCGTACGTGGTCTCTTATTGCAGGTGAGATGGGGAGAATCAAGCATGATAGAAGTGGAGAGATTGTTGCTTGCAGTTGCTCTAGAAGACCCAGCGAATCAAAGATTTGTCCTGCTTTCTGACAGGTTTGTAAAGCTTGGACAAGGATTAGTATTGTAATTGACGAAATTTTCCTATTCCTTGGATCAAGAACATTTTCTTTGAGTTCATGTTAATCTAGGTTTTTCTTTTTCTGTATTGCAGTTGTGTTCCTCTTTACAATTTTAGTTATATATACAAGTATCTGATGGCTTCTCCAAGGAGCTATGTGGACAGGTAGATGGCAGCCTGCTTGATTCTTGAGGTGCCTATAATTGATTCTTTACAAATGGTTCCATGATAAATGAAATGATAGTGTTCTATCTGTTTTAAGCCTTTTCTGGTTCCTACCGAAGAAATCACTTCATTTTGTAGCTTTCTTAATGTAAAGGATGGTAGATACAGCTCAAAGATGTCATCTATCATCCCAAAAGACAAGTGGCAAAAAGAATCGCAGGTTATCCATTTTCTGTTATAGATAACATTAAATTAATATAGAGATGGTTGAGTGTTGGGGGAACTGGATTTTTTAATGAACTGCTTTAGATACTTCAACTGGATTTAATAAGTGATGGGAATTGATTATTTCCATCTTTGCCTCTCTTGCCTTCTAAAAATAGTTGAAGATTGAGATGTATCCTTGTCTATTTCTCATGAGTTTTATGTCTTTTATTACCACCCGGTACAAAAAATTAAGCTCCGGTTTGAACTTATTTACATTTGCAGTGGATCTCCTTGGTAAGAAGCCATGCTGAAGTTGTTATAAATGATGAGAGATCATTTTTCCAGTTTTTAAGAAATTATGCAAGGTACACAATTAACCATTCTGTCCTTGGTTCCATTCCACTAAATATTAGATGCTCATATCTGCTAATTTTGATTTCTGAAGAAAAGATTATGAAACAGGCCGCTTTTTGTATTGACCATATCTCATTAATGCTATCGTAAAGAAATTAAGCTAATCCAGATTGTTGTGGTTTGTGAATAATTATCTTTTATTTTTTTTGGTAAAATGTGAATTCTTATTTCCAATAACAAGTGTACAAAGCAGCACCGCTAATAAAGGCTGCTACCAGATAAGATTTGTACAAAAGAATGGACAGACAATCAACAGATAGAATTCAATCTCGAATTACAGCTCCAATCCCCCACCGCAACGCAATTGGTCGAGACAGTGGCGATGTTTTTGGCCTTGCAAAACTCAAAATTTTATCACGAACATCAGCAATAACCAACTATACAATCTCAAATTCAGAATGAAACAACGATTGATGTATACGCGTATTGCGTTCAAACCATATATGGTAAGTTGTAGCATTCCACGCCAACTTGATAAGGGAATTATAAAGAGCCTTCCTCTTGGTTTTCTTTTTCATCCATTGCACCAGTGGCATCAAAGATGTAATAAATGGAATACTAGCCCTGTCAGATATCTCTCTCCAAACACTAGTAGAGAAAGAACATGCAAAGAAAAGATCGTCCCGTGTCTCACTTGCCTTGTTGCATAGCACACAGATATCATTGACCTGAGTTGACCACTTCTTTTGTCTGGAGCGTGTGGACAGCCTATCAAGTAAAGCTAGCCAAGTTACAAAACTATGTCTTGGTATAGAATTAGCAAACCACACAAGTCTGAACCAGTCTACCCTTTGTTGTTTGCTTCGAAG